GATATCTGCCTGTACGGAAGCCGGCAATAGAACAACAATAAGGTACATAATATCATAACCTTGTACTGCATGACGGTCGTTGGTCCGCGACATTAACGTTATTATTTCCTACATCAACTCGTCGTGCTCGAGTCCAGTTGGTGCCAGTTTCACGCCCTTTCTCCCTTCTCTGCGTGTGTACGCTCTATCCTTCTCTCTCTCTGCGTGTGTATTCACTGCGCTTCTCTCTCTCTGCTTTCTTACTCATTTTGCACGCAAATCATACCATCCCTTCACTTTCCGCCCCCTCTCCCTCTGGTTGGATACTCAGGCCCCTTCACACTCTCTCATTCATCTCACCGCCTCACTCTCACTCTCTCACGTCCCTCTCAGATCCAAACGCGGCGCACTGCACTCTCGCTGCCGTGCGTCGAGCGAGTGCCCGTCGTGCGCATGATCATCATCCAAGATCCTCAGCGTGTGGCCGCCGCCCGACTCTGTGTCTCTGTGGATGTGTGCGCTGGGATCCGACTGGAGCGCTGGCGACCGTGGGAAGCGGAACGATCCATTTGGTCAATGCGGGAACAGTGGCCAGTGTTTGAGAGCACACGGCAGTGCTCGATTGAACAACAGCTCCCAAAGCTCTCCTTGAAGAGGGCGAGGGCGAAAGGGGGATTGCTGCGCCCTAGATAGTGGGAGCGACCCCTTTCCACTTGCCCACACTCCCTCAACTCCTTGTTCAGTGCGCAAAGAGTTTTTTTTTTTTTCGAGTCTACCCTTTTGGCGCTCCTTTCTCAGACTCTTGACCACTTCGCCAGCATTGGCTGCCTCTGCCTTCCCGACACTTCCCACTGGTCTCCTTTCCCTCCCCATCTATCCCTTTTCGACACCCCTTCACGCTTGTCATGAGCCAGCGGTGCGTTGTCTTGAAGGGTCGCTTCGCACCCACATCACCAATCCAAAGCTCACCTGTCTCACGCCGCTTGGCTCTCACCACCTCTGGGCCAACTTTGCTCGTCCCTCGTAGACCGCCTTCGGTGGGCAAGCCACCCTTGCCCACAAAACCACAGGGTCTGGACAAACTTGCTACAAAACCCCCTACCCCACGCAAGCCCGCTCACATCTCCGCCGGCCAAAAGCCCCCCACGCCCAGCTCACCGGCCTCCACACAGCACAACACCATCTCAGAAACCAGGTCCTCAGCCCCCACCACACCCAGCAAGGCCGGCAAACGACTCAGCAACAACCCTTTTATGCGCGCAGACAGCAAAGACCAACTCCTCCGGCAACCCCTCGGTACCTCCGAGCCCACCTCAACCCCCGCCGCGGCTTCTGACAAGCCCCAGACACCCACCAACCCCTTTGTCAAAGCCGCCACCGCCAATACCACCTCCCCATCTCCAAAGGCCAACAAACCCCCGTTGCCCGCCAAACCGGTTCTGCCAACCAAGCCCATTCTCTCCGCCGAAAAACGGCGCTCCATTGGTCCCGTCTCCCCCGCCTCTGCCAACCCCTTCTCCAAACCCATCACCCCTGCTGGTCCCACCCCGACTCACACTCAGCCCGAACAAGTCACCGCTCCCCCACCAGCCGAGTCCACGGACGAGCCTGAATCAAAGCCCACCGCAGAGGCCCTAGACAAGTCCAGCAACAACACTGCACCGCCAGCAGAGCCGGATGCTGTAGCACCTCCGGCAACGGGCGACACAGCCACCACCGCGACTGGTGCTGACCAAGCCGCATCAGACCTTCCGCAGACTCCTACAAGCGATGACAAAGATGACAACAACAATGGCAAGGACGATAATAATGCCGACAACAATGCTGACAACGCCATTGACCAAACAGAAGATGAAGTCGAGGATGATGCATGGGCCGACCCCGCCCCAGAGGACCAGAACGCCACATCTGAGGGTGTTGTCTCATCCACACCGCCCCCAGCTGAACCGGTGCCCGCACCAGCGGTGCAAACCGAAACACAGGCCTTGCCCACCCCAGACGACGCTTCACACTCCGACGAATCATCAACCCAGACTGGTGTCATGCTCTACGCCTACGATAAGGCGGTTCGTTCCGACCCGACCCATGCTCGTACCCGTGGCTCATGTTGTGCTGTCTCACTCTTGGTCTCATGCACGTCTTGGTTAGGATGACCAGGAAATTTCTGTACCCCTTGGTGCCACCGTCAATATCATGAATGCTGAAAACTCCGACTGGATCTTTGTTGCCTACCAAGGTATGCCCTTTGCGAGGCTGGAAATCGGGTTTCGAACAAGATGAGGCTTTGCCATCGCGTCGTGTGGACGCTCGGGTCTTCCCAACCTTCAACCCGGCCTCCTTCTCACTCTTTGCCCCCGTCGTCTCTTCCTCCTCCTGGTACCCTATTGCACTTGATTTGCAGGGGCCAAGGGGTACATTCCGCGCGCCTACTGCCAGATCGGAGCGACAGAGGCCCTGCCAACCGACACGGAAACAGAACCCCCTGTCGTTCACAGCCATCCTCCATCCAAGCGTGCCTCTGTCCGCCGGATATCCGTAGCCCCTTCCAGTACCTCAGATGATCCCGAGCCAGAGGCTTCCGCACAGCCTGCCCGCCATGATTCAAACGCCTTTGAACCCACCGGCTACGAAGATGGACCTGCCATCTACGGCAACGCCGAAGCTGTTGAACAGCACCGCAACACAGTATGTTTCAGCAACATGGCTTCCTCGTGAGATTGTTGCACACCAGGGCAGAGCGGCCAAGCCTGCGACCCTCTTCACTGTCCCTCCCCGCTTTTGTATCGTGCACAGGCAGAAACATACACCCCGGAACCCCTCTATCAAAACCCTACTGAAGCCCTCGCCCCCGAAGAGTTTGAGGAGGACGAGGAGGACGAGGTTTGTTGTCCATCCTCGTGCAGGCGCTCGCTCACGCCAGCGTTGCCTGGCCCTTGCTGCACTGTTCCCCACTCACCATTTGTGATCTATGCTTTGTGTTCTACCCCAGCCCGTTTTCGCCCACGCCCTATTTGACTTTCATGCCACCTCAGACTCGGAGCTCTCTTTCAATGTTGGAGACGTCATAGAACTCATTGGCTTTGATGAAGCTGATCCGTGGTGGTCGGGCGTCATCGGTGAACGGGAAGGTATGCGAACGAAGCGGGAAAAAAAAATAAAAGTCGCAGTCTTTCTCTGGGGAAAATACCCCTTTCTTCTGGATGTCGTCTGCCCAGTGTAGCACCTGAACGTCTCATTCCTCCGTTGCTCTTGTCTCTTCTAGGCTGGTTTCCTGCCGAGTTTGTCTCGATTGTGCACGACGCGACCACCTTGGAATCATTGCAGCTCACTGGTGCCGGCGATCCCGAGCAGTTAGTGGTAACCTGCCATCCACACCCATTGTTTGGCTCGATCTAGACCTTCCCCCCGACTCACTTTGTTTATCGCACCATCAACCATGTAGGGCTCGTCGCCAAATCAAGCGTCGCCATGTCATGGACGAGCTGCTCCGCACCGAGGAGGTGCGACCTCAACACATGCTACACCCCATGCAGCCATCTGAAGAACTGCTCACCCCTTGCTGACGCATGCTTGAACGTGATTGTATCGATGCAACGCCCCACAGCTCTACGTGCAGGATCTTAAAATGATGGTGGAGGGCTACTGCTTGCATATGCGCAAGCACGTTGGCGTGCTTTTTACCGACGAGGACGTCGATATCATCTTTTGCAACATTGAGCAGCTGGCTGCTCACAACGAACGCTTTTTGCACGATCTGCAGCAAGCAGTCAACTCTGACAGTACGTACTCCTGCCCATCCCGAAAGCTGAGCGGTCTGATCAACAAAGTGATGCTGTCGTCTGACGCTTGCCCCTCTTTTCCACACATCACCTCTGCTTCAGGCATTGGATCGTGCTTCATCAAACATGCGGAACAGTTCAAAGTCTACAGTCGCTATTGCAACAACCACCCCCGTGCTGCCGCCGCGCTGCAAGGCGTTGTGCACTTCAACGAGCAAACGGAAAAGTTTTTTCAAGCTTGCCAATTACTGGTTGAAAAGGCCATCAGTTTGGAGGGTTTCCTCCTGAAACCAGTGCAGCGCATTTGCCAATATCCACTTCAGCTCAAGGAGCTCATCAAGGTGACAGACGAGAACCACCCCGATGCTCCTGCCATTGATGATGCTCTCGAGGTAATGCAAGCCATGGCTGCTGAAATCAACGAGGACAAGCGCAACAAGGAAGCCATCATGCAATTGCAGGACAAGCTCGATGGCTGGACTGGCCGAGATCTGGCCGAGTACAGCACACGTCTCATTCACGAAGGCTCTTTAATCAAGGTACATTCATCGGCCAGCTCGTACACCGCTTCAGTCGCGTCATGTGTGCATGATGCCATCACCGCCATGATCCTCACTTTGCGTTGGCGCGCTTGCCAGATCTCGGGAAATCACATGCAGGAGCGCCATTTTTATCTTTTTGACAACATGTTTGTGTATTGCAAGAAGTCACTCAAGGTATGCTGGCAAGAGGCAGCTGGCTGCCGAAGTGCTAAACAAGTTCAAGAATGATGTCGCTTTTGGTCAAATCATCCCTCCACCCCCTCCACACACACACACACACACACACACACACACACTCTTACACATCTTTCCTCTCCCCAGTCAACTCAACCCTATACTAATGCACACGTGCTTCCGTTTGCCTTGGCCGCCTGTCAGACAATGCTGGTCAAGGGCAAAATTTTTACAGAGAACATGACGGTCATGGACCTGGAGGATGGTGACTTTGTTTGGCGCAAAACACCCATCAACAATGCGATTCGCATTAAAAATGAATCCAAGAATAAATGGTGGGTGCGTCGCCTTTCGCTTCATCTGCTCTGTTAGACCTTGCAGTCGACTGCGTGGTTTGAACATGGTTCTTTTGAGCAAGTCGAGGGGTTTGGCAGACCACGCAACTGCTCAACCGCTAATCGCTCGCTTACTGGCGCGTGGGGGTAGGTATGTGCTCTCGGCGAAATCAGTTGAGGAGAAGGAACAGTGGCTGAATGCTTTCCTCGAGGAACGCGCCGACGTGGAACGAGCCATGATGTCTGGCACTTCGCTGATTAATCGTGCTGTGGAAGACACGGACTTGGGCTCGACTAGCATCTCGAAACGTTCGTCGAACACGGGCCGCGTTGTGCTCCGCACCCGCTCGCCTGCTAGAGTTATGACCCCTCACCCTGCTTCTCCAATGTGTCTGGTGCAGGCGCTAAATCCAAGCGTCAGGACAAGTCGATGGTGCATCGTCGCACCACCAAGCGCACCAACAAATAACTGACTCACAGGTAGCTGTTTAGATGATCTTGATTTGATTGGCAATTCCTTGATCCCTTGTTGAGTCTGCTTCTGTGTTTTGGCGCGTGTTGGCGCCTTGTGACTGAATTGGAAGAGAGATAGTGTGGCCTGTGTGACAAAGATTTGCCATGGATAGCGCAGGCCAGAGCCAAAGAAGCTTGCACATCGATTGGTCAAGCAAATAAGCAGCGGTCTGGTATTCGTTTAAATGTAAGCAGAGGTCGGGCTGAATCATTTAAGGGAAATGTTGCCACAAAATGGCGACAAGGCATGCGCAAATTGACGGGGTGGCGTCATTGCGTGTGACGTGATAAATGTGGTATCCTGAGACAAAGATGGGCAAATGCTCGGGTTGACGACAGCGAGGCCTGTCCTGACCGTGGAGCCGATTGGTCAGCCCAAGTAGGTCAAGCAGCAACACGCAGGTTGCAGCCATCCATATGCGTGGATCAAGAAGACATCTCGGCCAACTACTTGAGTCGAAGAACCGTAAATGGGCCCTGTTGCCATGTTCGCTCAAAGTAGGTTAGTGCACTTTGCCGGGCCACACGGCAGAATCGTTCCTTGCCCTGATAAGGCCCCGGACTGCGGCGAGGGGGTTGTTGTGAGTCTCATGAAACGCCATGGCCTGACAGCATGACCGTGGGGGCTGGTACTGACCGATAATTGTTGAGGTGGGAAGGCTGGGTGGCGTAATAACTGAGCGGCATACCCGATGGGCAAGTAAGCTCGCATGGGCCTTGAGCCAGCACCATCCACTGGGCATCATACTTTTCCATTAGATTAGCCGCCTATCGAGGGCAAGATGAGCAAGACATGGGGAGGGGACAAACGCCGTTTGGGTTGCTTGTCTCTGGCCGTGTATCTGAGCAAGCACACCGTACAGACCTGCTGTTCTGAAATGGGCGCAACTATTTGGAACACGTCTTGGTAGCGTTGGTGGACGGATGCCGACTCGGCATGGGGGTGCAGCACGATGTGGTGCCTGCAGTCGCCATGTGCACCAAAGCCCACCCATCAATTGCGAGGCCCTACCAGAGCAACAGTTGCGAGCATGCAGGGCAGCTAGTCCAAAAGAGACCGGCTTACCGAGTCAATAGCTTGATGGAGCTGGAGAGTACTGGATCGCTGAGAATGGTATGATTCGCCGGCACAGCTTTGCGTAAGTACTTGACCAGAGCTCGCATGTTGGTGTCTGTCAGTGCGTGGCTCTTGAGATTTTCGTGCCTGGAGGGCCGGGTATGAGCCAAAGAGGAGGTGGGTGATGGTTGGGTGAATCAGAACATGGATCGGGTGGGGAGCAGCGCAAACAAGAGCGCAGACCCAGAAACAAAGAAAATTTACTTGAGAATGACATCAACGGGTGCATTGAGGTAGCTGCCAGCTGGCGTGGAGGACACGACAAGGCCAATAACCACCAATGTCACTGCCAATGATACACCGTGCACGAGCAGCGAAGACTGGCGGACGGATGCACTGGTGTCTCGCAACCCTAGTCTGCGCGCCGGGCAGGCATCATACAGAAGAGCAATGAGGCGGAAGACTCATACGTGCTCAAAAACTACGGTCGAATGGCTCGCAAGCAGGACGAACAGGTAGCGCAGCTGTTGAGGAAGGCCACTCAAGTAGGCCCACAAAATGTGAGAGAAGGGGAGAGTGGCGAGGAGAGCTAGGGCGGGCACCATGACGACGGACATTCTGTTGCGTTGCCCGTGGAGGGGAGTCAAAAAAGGCGCACAGGCCACACGTGAGGACAGTCTAAGTAAAAATCGGTAAACTTAAGACGCAGCTGCGAGCCAGAACAAACCTTTGGATGCCAAGGCCCAGACAGATAAGCACGAGGCAGAGGGCCGTGGCAATGGTAGTCTCCATCAAAGGTGTGTGCTGCCCCACGTACTGGTAGAGCAGGGCCATGAGAATCTGGAACAAAGTCGACCAAAATAAATAATCAGGGGCGGCATTGAGTTGAAATGTGAGCATATGCGAGTTGGTTGTTGGCGCAGGCATTTGCTGATGACAGCAGGCAAGTTCAGGGCTGTCGCCGCGCAGGAACGTACCACAATGGTTGCGCCCAGGGCGGCCAGGGGAACCAGTCCCGAATCCCAGTAGGCCGAGAGCTGACTTGGGGTGATGGGGATGTAAGCGGCACTGCAGACGTAGAGGGCGGTAAGAAGGTCATAATCCTCGGCTAAAAGGGCCTCAAGAATAGTGAAGATGTGCGAGTCGTCACGGTTGAAGGTAAGTGAGAGAAGTTTCTTGATGGCCAAAGTGGCGCAGGCGATGATGGCGCCCTGCATGATGTTGTGAAGGGTATTGAGGTCGGAGGGCAGGTAGCGGAGGACAAGCCAGGTGGTGGCCAAGGCCAGGACCCAGAGAGAACCGGCAATCATGGAGTTACCCAGCATCATGAGCACGCCAATCACAGCGGCTTCAGACATGGCATCGACAGCCAGGATCACGTGGGCGGGCAGGGCGACGTTGGTGCAATAGGCAGCAAATACGGCCACGAGCTCAAGGAGCAAGAGCATGGGCGTGAATTGCCAGGAGCATAGCATGGCGATGGTGGTACCGACAAAAGTGGAGCGCCAGGTTTTGTCAACGTCGCCGAGGTAGCGCAACAGCGCGGCAACTTGCCACCAGAAGAAAGGGAGAGCAAAGTTTTCGCGAAGCATGAGCATGTCGGCGCGCGTCATGGTATCGGCGTGCATGCAGCAGAGGGCCATGGCGAGGATGCCGTTGAGGGGGTTCTCGGTGACGATGACAGCAAGGTAGGCAAAGCCGGCCCATTGAATGCCGGCAAGAATAAAGCTGACGGCCATCATGAGGTCGTGGGCGGAGATGGGAAGGTAGGTGCCAAAGAGACGATAAAAGAGGCCGAGCACAAGTTCTGGATAAATGTTGAAGCGGGAGAGCGCGTTGATGGGAGTTGGGTGCTCCACACTGCTATCGTTGAGAAGTTGTTGATACACGTCAAGGGTGGTTGGGGCCCGAATCACGGTTTCGTAGTACGAGTAGTAAAAGGCTCGCTCGGAATAGAGATCGAGCTTGCGATCCAGTGCGCTCTTGTGGTCATACCTAAAGCAGGCGGGTGGGGTGTCAAGGGCGTCGGGCAGAGTGAGGCGTCGAAAATTAGGGTGCGTGCTTTTGAAGAGCGCCATAT